GATGAAAGAGGTACGCATTAAGCTGTTTACTAAGGTGACATGAAAAGGTGTTTTAGCTCAGTATTCAGCCTAATGAGGGAGAGAGACCGAGGGTTATCTTATTAGATATTCAGAGCTGCCAGTTCGCAGCCTTTTACATCCCCTCTCAACATCAAAAGAAAGCTACATTTTCTGGCAAGGTGAAGTCTAATAATAGTGAGGTCCCTGTAGATTAAATTAACATTTCATTATTTCATTGACGGGCTGACTTTTACCCGGGCACTAACTAGCTGAGGTGAGGTCTCAACACTCGCACTTAGTGGTGTGTATTGTGACTCAAGGACACTAGTTACCAACCTGGGGGCCAGCGCCCCAACAAAGGGGTCATAAGACAAACTTGAGGGGACTCCAAATGATACACAGAGGAGAAAAGCAGAAGAACTAAATACTTCTGCTGCACATACCGTCCTCTGATCCTCGCGGGCGTAGCCATGTTAGTGTAGTGGCGATGTTGGCCAGTGGACTAGAAAAATCTCATTCATGTTCTCTGGAGGTCAAATGCTACAGACTTTATTGATCTTCTGACTTTTCCTTTTAAAAAGGTAAAAGTAGTAATAAATGCAAAATAATCTACTTCAAGTCACAAAACTATCTGAAGTCTCCTCAATTTCTTAAAATTGATCCCAGTGATTGATAATTAAAAAGAGAGAAATTTTATGAATGAACAAATTTTATACTAAGGAAGTTATACTGATTATCACAAATTATAGTATCACTCAGATTAGAAAACCTAATGAGCAAGCAAATGTATAAAACTACTACAGCTGTCAAATTAATGGTGTAAAAAGTAAAATATTTGCCCCTAAAATGTGGTTGAGCAGAAGTATAAAGAAGCATACAGTGTAAATATAAATGTACTTGGTTACTTTCCACCTCTGCTCTGTGGTGGTTCCTGTTCCAGCTGAGAGCAGGGCTCACCACACACGATAAACCCAGAGTGTAAATTGAGCAAAGGCCCCAACATGCTCTGAAGCCTCCGCGATTTCTTCGTTTCCCACTGAGTCAAGATCCTGTGTACAAAACCACTACTACGCTGCATTGAAACCAGATGGATCAAACAGTCCTTTCCTTTATTTGGACTGCTCTCTGTTATTGGAAAGAATTTCAGTAAGAATTACCAAATCTGGCCGCCTTTCAGGAAAACAAATGGACACAGATGTAGTTTTCCTTTTTATAGGCTGTTTATGTCTTGCAAATTCCTTTTCCAGAAGAGCGGGGTATGTTCTTTCATGTTTTAATGGCTCAGCGTGACCGCAGCCCTTTGTGGCAAATGCACTTTTCCAACACTAATGACATATAGTCACACAAGGCTCTGGCAGCAGTGTGCTACAGAGGCTGCATGCCCACTGTGTAATTAGTCTACCACTAACTCCTAGTCTGGGGAAACATTCACAACCACATTAAACACGGACGGTTTTTCACCTCAGAGGGCCTGCAGCAGATGGATACGCTCTGAAGGAATCATGTAGAGAAAAATGACTTTCATCAGTCAGTTAAACTGATCACATTTGTTGTCTAATGGGAGGGGGGGATCTCAGCAGAAGACGAGAGGCATTGGATGACAATCTTTTTATTGGAGTGTCTCTTATGTGTTCCTGATAATAATAATCAAATGAGCCTATACTGTCAGGTCCCATCGCCTCACAGAAATACCACCATGGTACTCAAATGGGTAACCAAGATACTCACAATGTTGCTTTAGTTGTTCGGTGAAATCCTGCCATCTGGTGGCTGTCACACAATATTACATCAAATCAAACCGTTTTCAGTGGTGGAAAAAGTATTGAGATCTTTCACTTAAAACTGCTATAATTTATATTTTTACCAAATCGTATTGTGAAAACGTGACAATGCAAAAGAGGTCACTCGTAGCGATGAAACTCCAGAGAATTATGATGAATCTGAAGCTCCCCTCGGCTCTATGGAGGTTTAACTGAGTTCAGGGCCGCAACTTTACTGTTTTGGTTCACTCACTCTCACCGCTCTCTGTGTTTTAGACCACAGCAGCAAAGCTATTTAAGCCCACTACAGCAACGTTACCTGCTCAACACCAAACAGACACACGGTTACGTTAGCGACTAGTTAGTGAACATAGTTAAGCTGCTCATGAGACAGATATATCTCTTAGGAGTTGGCGAAGAACAAAAACAGAGCTAAAAGAGAGTGAATATTGGACTTCTGTTCAACAGTTGGCCGGAACCTCGACTCCAAATGAAGGATAGTTCCTCCTTAACTGCTGGGTGTAAATAGGCACCTGTTTGATATCAAGCTCTTAATATGAACTGAAAAGCTGATGTCAGTGTTGTGTTCACAGCTCGTTTCTGCTGGTGGCCAAAACAACAACAACAACAAAACATCTGGTATTCCAGGTTTAAAGAAAAGGTTTTGACATTTTGGAAAACATGCTTATTTGAGTTATTTAAGAGTTATGTAACAGACAATTTCCTGGTCAGACCAGTTGCCTGGCAACCAGCGGAATCTCCAAAAATATATCGGCAGCTAATTTGGCACATATTTTACTGCCGGTAGTATTTGTCATTTATACACGTTCGTACTGATTAACCTAACAACATATGAAATGCTAATTGGAGAGCTTTGAAGGTGCTGCTAGATGGATTTTTGCCACCTGCAGACAGACTTAAGGTACCTGCTTAGCCATTTCCAGTCTTAATGCTTTCAAAATGCTGTTTCTCTCTGAAATGTAACACTAGTGAGTAAAAGTATAAAGTAGGCCTAGTCTAAAATGGAGAACCTTATGTAAAATACCTTAAAATTGAAGAGTATTTGAATGAATGCACTTTCCACCACTGATTTTTATATTAGAGCAAAAGCTTATTTGCCTTAAACAGAGCCACATAAATGCTAAAATATGCTGTTAAATCCTACAATCGTCCCCAAAGAGCAATGAACTCGGGGCATTTCTGATCCCTGATCCAAGCGGTTCCTGCAGTCCTGTCTGAAGAGTGTCGTTTGGTTGGCGGACCAGCACAGACAAATGTGGAGGGAAACCTGCTGAAACCATCACTCAAGACGTGAACCGGCCTCATTAGCCGTGGCTGTATCATGCATAGGTCTCTCTCATCTATGGGGTAATGAAAGCATGAGGGCTCTGTGTCACCAGGGTCACATGAAGGCCCTCACACCAGAGGAAGGCCTCTTGGTGAACTCTGCATGCAACGCCATGTGTAAAGTGTTAATCGCAGCAGTAATGGAGCCAAGAAAGGAGCAGGCACTGAGGTGTCTCCCTGAACGGAACTGCAGAGGAGTCCTGTGTGCGCGTCAGTCTTTCTGATGGGCAGTTAAAAGCCATCAGGGCGCTGTGATCTGAGAACACACTCCAGTGAAAACATATGTTCCCGGTTAAGGCTAGGGGAAATTGGATTAAAGAAATTCTTCTTGAAACGGTCTGAATTGCTCTTGCCATAACAACTGCGAGGCAGCTGACACAGACAAAACCACAAATCAGTCTGAAACTAATATTATGCTTCTCTTTTCATGTCAAGCAAGTCACAACAGTGGAAGAGTGGAAGGGGGGGTGGATTCTGCTGAACACATTTAAGTCCAGAGAGGTGAGGAAGGGGCTGTGGCCTGGTTTTAATAGCCTATTACATTTCTTTCCTCGCCAAAATACTCTTGACTGCACCACATGCTTTCCATCACCGGGATGTTATTCCATCACGAGCAGCAGGAGAAGCTGGTTTGATGACTCCAAACCATCAGAGCAGGGAAATAATCTCAGACAATATAAGAGGAAAAAGCTCACAGGTAGTTTTGGAAGTTTGAGCACATTCCTCACTTTGCTTGAAATGATGTTAACAAGGTTGGAATAATAAAAGCTTTCAGGCAGAACTGCAGCACAGGCCTGAGAACGTTTCTGTTCATGATTCAATTAAGACCACCTGTCCAATTCATAGGAAGTCATCAGTTTCGTCACTTAAAACAAATAGGATGGTATCTTTGCTGAAGTCACAAAGCCACATTTTGAAATAAAGCAGGCTGCAGTCAGTGTATGGATGCTACTCAAACACCCCATGTGGACTAAAGAAACCAGATAGAGCAGGGACATGAATATACTAATGAAGTACCTGTTAATCCCAGCAGAGCCATGATAGATCGGATGAACAGGCCAACAGCAGGACAGTAAGAAAGATCTTCACGTAAAAACAACTTTGAAAACAGTGATTTCAAAATATAAGTCAATGCTCAATGTCTCACAGGTGTTTCCACTTAAGTTGCCTGATCGGACTGTTGTGGTTTTACAGTGGAGGTGCGCACGCCTGGCCTGAAATAAAAAGTGCAGCAATAACATCAGGGACCAGTTTCACAAAGATAGACTGTAACTACGGCTTCGATCCAACTAAAAGTCAGACTTCAGACAGACGCCTAAATTCATCTAGTGCACACATCTATCCCAGCCCAACAGCAGAAAGAGACCACAATGTGATATTTGACACACCTGGGTTCACCTCCTCAAAGTGCTTTCACCCGAGTAGACCTCCTCACTGTCTGTCTCCTGCTAGTTTAATGACCTCATGTAGCTCACAACATGACGCTCAATTTCAATTCAAAATGTTTATATGTTAAATGTTAATACTGGCTGAAACCAGTGGCCAAAGGCAGTCTAATACTTGCAGACCACCTCCAGTGAGTCAGAGTACCTTAACCGTGGTGAAGTCACGGGCCGTGCCCTTCTGGTGTCTTGAGCCAGGGAGGAGAGGCCGACTTTATAGATGCATTTCCAAACAACTGACAAATCCTCGTCATTCTGCCTTTAAAGCAGAATCTTCAGCAGACAGACTGCTCAGGTGTCTTCAAGTGTTAAATGATCCACTTCTTCGAGTTTGACCTGTTGACCTGACTTTGAGAAACTGTTTGTAAGGGATTCTAACCATCTATTCACCGACATCTAACAATTACTGTTGTACATCTGTCCAATTATGTTTGAACCATGTAGTTGCCATTTATTACATTTCGATATTTATCCAAATTTCAAAAGGTTTAAACACTGAATGACTGCTTCATTATTAAGGTAGGTATTTCATTGAGTTTTAAATATTGAATGAGCATTTATTGAAATACTATTTTAACATTTGACAGACATTTTTACTCTATTGGCCTTTTTCAGTTATGCTTGTTTTTTTTAATATTCAATTAGAATTAATGCAAAAGTAAGCAGAACGCATTTAGTTAATGTTTCACATTGATATCAGTTCCTCTTGGAGTGATATGAAATAACCAATACACATATGCAGTACTGTGTGTACAGTTGCAAACTGACAATTTTAGTTTACGCATAGTCAAAGTAATAAACTAAATGTAATCCATGTTATCCAATAAGTATTTTCATAGACAAGAGATTAGAGCATTTAAGACGAGACAATATGCTCACATTAGGAGGATGTACTGCCCTCATTGTAACAACAGTACCGATAAGAAGAAGAAGAAATGTAATTCTCCCTGGAGATGAAGAGACGGACAATAACTTCCACCTTGATCCAACCATCTTACATTTGGTTCCAATCAGAGATACAGTAACAACTTGAGAATGAGGTTTTTATTAGAAAATGATGACAGCCTACAAGACAAATTTAGCCAGCATCCGCACCAAGACAGGAAACAAAAAAAAGAATCATGATGAAATTCCTTTTCAAAAGATCTTGGTAAACCACCGGACAAAAGAAGTATCATAGAAACTAAAAAGTGGTACTCAAAAACATACCAATACAGGAAGAGCGTACTCAGCAGCTTTCCACATGAAAGAAAATGAATTTGTCCAGGGATTAGTGTGACACCTTTGTCTTCCTTAATAAATCAACGGATCTCGCACAATCAGTTCTCCGAAGGCTTTTCTGTGAAATCACATCCTTTCGACAGGTAACGAACGTTGTCTCCAAACTTCAACACACAAAGGCTTCAGATCCGGAAATAAGAAATCCTTAAACTGCCTTGCGGTGGTACTCTGGAGGGGCAACTTCATAGTCACTTGCATTGAAGAGCGATGCAGAGTTCTTTACAAGATACCTGGAAGGGAAGTTACATTGTATTCATTACTGCTGCAGGTGAATCGCTACGAGCCTCATTAATGACAGCTTTGTGAATACTCACTTGAGGAAGTCTTGTAGATAACTGAGCAGCAGTGCAAGGCTCTTCTCGTCCAGAGGAGTGTACGCCAGCATAGCTCCAATTCTCACTTTGAAAACCAAACAAAGGCAGCATTTTACACACAACGTGGCCGCAAACCTCGTCTTCATTAAGGATAGAAAACATTTCAATGACTCCACTCATCCTCGAGGCAATTCAAATGATTAAAACACAGAACACGGGTCATAGTGGTGGATGTGGATGAATACCAACGAGCACGAAAAGGTAGTTGAAAGAAACGGGCTGCACTCTTATTTCTAACATCTATGAACTGTATGTTGTTTTCTCACTGTACCAGAGAATAGAACAGCAGGTCAGGACACACTGATGGCTTGAATTGAACACCGATGCCCCGATTCTGTTTCAAATGTTGATTTTTTTTTTTTTTTTTTTAAAAAGGGATTTTAAAGTCAGAACTGTGAAAAGTCAGATATTATATTTGCCATGTGTCTCAGAAGTCTGTTAGCAAACTTGGTGTTTTATGCTAACGCTATAGCAGCTACATACAGTTCAGAAGCTCAGACACAAACGTATTCAATCTTTTTATTTTTTGTACATGTGAGGAGCAACACATGCATTCTTTCTTCTTACCATAGCCCGACCTACAGTACAATACCGTAGTATTTTGAAAAATGCTTCTGTTTATTTATTATTTGTGTGTTTATTTAGCTTCCTTTAATGCACACCATTTCCCATAAGTCTGAGAAGGGATAAACATTGTGGCTCAACAAATGAGGTGAGTCCATTGGTGATTAAATACCGTATTTATCTAATTCTACTTTTACTGGGATTACTTCTATAGGCGGACTGCTACAGATGTTTTAAGTAGCAATGCATTAAAGCTGCTCTTCTCAAAAAATAACACAAATACTACAGCTGGGTAATGTGTTTACCAAAGAGTCTAAGTAGGTGAGGGGCGCCGTAGATCTGAGACATGGACGTATCTGGGTGGTTGGCCAAGATGTCTGCGTACTGCGGCCTCTCAAATTTGTAGAGAAGTTGCGTCCCCAGCATGACACTGAAATATTCCCGGATACCAGCAACCACCTCGTTCACAGCAAACTCCCTGAGGGGTGAAGGAAAAACAAGTTGGATGTCTTTGACACAGAGAGCAAACCTGCAGCAATTCATGTCACAGAAAGAAAATGACAAGTAATGTGTATTTTTACTTGCTGTCAGAGTTTCCTCTTGATTTCTTATAGTTTGCATAATCTTCAAGCACTGCATCAACGCTCTTTTTGGCAGGTAGGTGGAAAAGCTGAAGGCATAAAAGAAAATGGACAAAAAGAAACACGGATACATAACTTTGGAAACGTCATCAGGGTTCCTTTGGAAGAGCGACACCCAGTTCATACACACCAGTTCATATTTCTGTTTTATGTTCCCATTGTTGTGTATCTGGACACGCTGCATATCTTTTTTTAGTTTTCAGGGAAATCAGCTCGTTAGGATCATGAGTTAAAACATATCGAGTTAAGACTGAGGTTTTTTTAATAGCTCATAAATAAGCTCATGTCATGTATAGAAACAATGTGATGTTTTTCATATCCTGGAATAGATGAAGTTCTTGTGATGACATATCAGCTGTGTCTTGAGAGCGAGATATCGTAAATCATATAAAAAGCTGTACAAAATAAAAAGGGACAAATTCAATAATTCCAACAATATTGCACCAATTAAAAAACGTATGCAAAAATTGCTCGACCCATCTCTACCGACTTGCCTTCCCTGTATAGCAGCTGTCATGTATGTGTCTGTATGCGTCTTCCTTTCTGCATCTGTATGCTGTTAAGCTGCTTGTAACTTTGTTTTTAAAGGTGCTTTATAAATAAAAAGGGAAGCCAGCACGTAGCGGCTCGGTAACCAACAGACCCGGCTGAGGATCAAGACACTGGAAAGTTATTTGGGTCTTGAGGAGCTGCAGCATTTATTCAAAGACAAACTGAACCGTACACTGTTAGTTTACCACCACTAGACAACCGGATTGTTCACGTCCTCTCTGCTCTGAACGCCAACAACGAGCCTCGTGCGCATTACCTCGTACCGGTTTCAGACAAAATGAAATCCCGGTTAAATAGACATTTTTTTTTGCTGAATTTGCACTTCCCAGTGTAGCTACAGTGACAGCTAGCTAGCAGACAGAGGATCCTCTGTTCTCAGGAAATAAAATTTTTGTTGGTTCCGCTATCCAGATCTGCGTGACGTTAATGCTAATGAGATAAATTGGTAAAATCTACTACATCTAATGTCTTAGCATTTTTAAGACTATTGACAGATTGACTTATTTTAATACCAGTTAAAGGCTTTTTTTTAAAGAATAAAAAATTCAATGCCTTTTAAGGATCTGCAGGAACCCCCAAGTTATATTATAAATGCATGCGATAATATTAATGAAGACGCATGCTGTGTGTATTTTAAAGGTTCTAACCTGTTTCTGCCGTGTGATCAGGTCCCAGTCATCCACAAGCCATGGTTTCAGCTCCTCTGGGATCTTTACTTTAACCTCCACTCGATTTATGAAGGTCTCCTCCTGAGCAGACAGGAACAAATTTAAGAAAGAAGCTTTTTGGCACAACGTTCACGCAGTTAAAGTCATTCCATCCTCCTAAACATACCTACAGAGAAGTAGACTTCTGACTCAGTTACTTTCACTTCAGCTCAGTATAACTATATACTCGTTGCTATTTCTGAACTTACACTTTCAACAGTTGGGTCAACGCGTGCCCTCTTCTTTCGGGGAGGGTGGGTTGGGTCTCCTCCTGAACTCGTCCCTTCTCCTGCACCAGGAGCTGCAAGATCAGAAGAACACTCAACCGTTATTTCCTTCATAAGAAAAAGTAAACGCCAAAGTGATTGTGACATCCTGCTACGACTCTAGTTATGCTTGTATTCGCTTGATAGCTCACAGCTTCTGTTGGAAAGCTAACAGAAACACACCTGTGCAAAACAAACTGCTGATTGATTTTGGAGGGCATGCATTCAAAAAGGTGTCCACGACATCAATACACAACAGGACATTCATGCTTACGCTTTTGTTTGTTCTTTTTGGTTTTCCTACAAAAGACAAAAAAAGACACGTGTTAAAATAATAATAATAAAAATCATTAACATGTATCAGACCACTTAAACAGGAGACATCACAGCAGCTGACATGTGGAATAACAAATGGCGTAAACTCACACATCATTTTTCTGCGGTGGAGCAGGTATCTTCTTATTTGGCGCAGCACCCCTCATTCTCCCTTCTACATAATGGTCTCTACAGCAAGAGAAACATGACTTCAGAATACATCATTCATATTAAAGTCAGACTACAGTTTGTTTATTTAGGCAGAATATTTAACAAACCCCATCTGTAGTGTTTTGTTTTGGCAGTGCTTGTCATTCATTTAGACTGGTCTGTGAGCCCCAGTGTGTTGTAACACATTAGGTCTTATATAGAGCTCCATTTTATACTCAAATTAGGCAATGCGTGTATTTTGCCTTAATTTGCTCTCTCTCTCTCTCTCTCTCTTTCTCTCTCTCTCATAAAACCACTCTTTCTAGCGGTATCTGTAAACACTAAAGTTAGTAAAAAGGGAGAATAGACTTACTGATTGGCCCTCTGAAGCTCTTTCTGTTTCTGCAGATTACTGTCCACATACTTCAGCACTCTGCTTTCAGGAACCCATTCGTCCCAGCTGCAATATAAAAACACCAAGAAAGAAATTAAGCACATGGGGAATCTTTACTGCACTATTCTGAAAGATTAGTTTTATCTGAACCAGAACTTACTTCTTGTTCCAACCACTGTAATGAATAAAGTATTTGATTTGTTTTTCCTTGATGCTTATCTTAACACACTGCAAAGAAAGACATAAATCATGGTCACAAAAAAAACAAAGGGTTCATATCAGAGACACAGAGGAGGATCACATGATCAGAGTAACAGGCTAACTAAGGCAGCCTACCTTAGCTTCGTAGAGCAATGGCCCATGAAAACACAGCACTCTTTCACCTGAACAGAGTGTTGGTCAATTAAAATCAGCATGAGAGCAGTCCAAGTAAAACACGGTGAAAATGTAAAGCTGGCTAAACTACTCCTACACACAAACACAAGAACAATAATTACACCGTAAACTTAAATTCTTGCACATCAGCAACCAACACCGGTCTCTGTCGAATAGCCGAGAACAATAATGACATTAAAGTTTAGAAATATGTTTCAGCCACACACTCAGATCACATTAAATCTACTGGAGTCAGACAAGAGTCAAGAGTTTGATTTACCAGCAGACCTCACATGATGTATGAAGGGCTGAGCATAACACTTAAGATTATTTTCATTATCGATTTGTCTGTTGAATATTCTACAAAAATCTGATTTAGTCGTTAAAACCAAGAGATATTCAGTTCATAATTATGTAAAATAGAAGAAAAAAAGATGAAAATAACGTAATTTGGTAAATAACTTAGATACTGATAATTAAAATAGTTAAAATAAATTTTCTGTCAAATAATTCATCGACTTATCATTTCTACTCTCATTAGAGAGCTTGCAGCACTTTGCAAAAAGTTAATTTACATAACTTTTAATTGAGACTATATATGAATATCATAAAATATAATTATAGTATCTTAGATACTGCACACCACTTTAAATAAGCAACTATGTTCTGATTTATAATGTCAGACGCGAAATTCACTCAGCTCTAAAAACAAACTTTTTGTACAATTTAATGAAAACAATGAGTAACCAATAAATATGTGATATATATATTACAATTAATTACTTAATCAATGAACCCACTATTGATTTTTTTAAACATATGAAAGTTGATTTGACACACCAACAAAAACCACTAAAGTACTTTGAAGACATGATTTACTTTGCATATTAAAGAGAGCTGCAGAAGAAAACAACACAGTTAGCCGCTAGCCAGCTAGCTTCAGCTAACAGTCCACCGTGAGAGGTGGGCGGTTAAATCAATGGGGAGCTAACGCTGCATGAATGAAGACAGCGCTTTACGTTAGCTGCTAGCTATACTGCAGCAAATCAAACCGCGACGCTACCGTTATACAAACGTACTGCTGAAACGACACCATGTTGTAAAGTAAATAATTACCGCGGTAAAATAAATAAACCATCAAGACCTGGTATGTGCAACAACAATGAAGGCAACGCTAGCATTTCGGCGGCGGCAGTGCTAAAGCTAGCTAACATTTCGGACCTTTCCGAAGGCTCCAGCACCGACAGGCACTGTGAATCCACCAGAAATGAAAACAGACAACTTGTTACCTTCTTGAAATTTAGGTTTCGGGTCCTGTTTCGGCGCCATTCACGGACTAAACTATCAAAATATGGGGAAAATTGCTAGCTCCCATTCCAGTCTGAAACGGCGCCGCTCTCTAAATCCGTCATAACCAACGCAATGACGCATTAATACCGCGACGAGAGATGCGCCTGAAAGCAAAGAGCATTTACGTTCCTTTGCCTGAACGTCGCTGTACATCCATGCTCGAAATGAAACGCCAAATATACATATGTATGTGAAGTGAAAATAACTGTCTCTTGAATACGTTTTGTCGTATGCAGTGACCGTTGTCCGTCGGTATTTTAGTGATATGTTTTAACAGTTAGATGGATGAAAGACTTGTGAATGCAAATTAAATAGAAAAACTGAGGTCACGAGTCACGATTCAGCCACTGTAACCTTCAAGGAAAAGTTTTCTAGCAAGCAAAAAATGAATAACGTGTTCTGATTTTCATATTTTTTTCAAATGCATCATCCCATTAGCCTATTTTAATTTAATTTCCTAAAAACAGAAACATTGGTATTGAGTGTAAAGTCCTCCTTAAAATGTAACCAACCCAAATTTTCAAAGACTTGGGACATGACCTGCCTTGTATTTTTCAGCATTCAGAGATTAGATTGTGGGGACTATATGGTCAGTTTTTAAATGTATAAACAGTATATACTTCACTGAAAACCCAGAATAGTGTTTCAAGGTTATACAAAAGATGATGAAAGCTTCCTTTGGTTCCATTAACACCCCTCTGTATAGACCCTGGTGGCTGCCTTCCTGTTAGGTGTGCCAGTGTTTGGCTCACTGACACACCTAAATGGAGCGGAGCTGTAACATTACGTACAACCTCATCACTCCCATCAAGTACAGACCGGTGGAAAAAGGAGAAACAGAAAAGTGTCTGAACAAGGAGATTTCCTCTTGATTTTGCCCAGAATGCTGTTGATTGTAGATAAAAAATAAGACTTTTAAGAATCATTGATTGGGGACACTCACCACATCAACATCCCTGTCACTACTTAAGGACACATGAATCAATCAATCTGAAGACTGAATCCAACACCTGTTGAGCCACCACCTCAAAATGTCTCTGAAAAGCAATGTCTGAGATGTTGGCATATTGGCAGTCAATACATTCAATTTTCAATATTTAAGCAGTTTGAAGTGGGCTGACAAATTTGGGATTTAAATTAAACAATAGGTATACAACATTTTTTATTTTGCGATTTCTGATTCAGATACCCCAAATTTAAAATTTGTATACAGTAACCCGTTTTCTACTGGATGGATACAGACATTCATGGCTCACAGGGGATCCTGTGGACTATTTCCCTGTAGCACTACCATGAGGTTGATGTTTGGGTTTTTTCTTTTTAAGTAAAATGTTTCAACAACTATTGGATGGTTTGGTAGGAAATTTAGTTCTGACTTTCATTATCAGTGCCCTCTGGTGGAAAAACTGTAATATGACACCATTTCTAAACATATATTGGTGTTTCTCTACAGCAAATTCTGGTTACTCAATGTCCTTCACATAGGCTGACTGTCTGCAAAACGTCAATATATCTGCCTCTACTACAAGCATGTGCTGTATTAAACTGTGATTAAGCTAAGGATTTTTTCCCATGCAGCTGAATCAGCACTGCTTTCAGAGCAACTACAGATGTGCACTTTCTATCCGTTGAATTAAGTATCAAACAGCACAGTAGACCTTGTAGCGATTCAAAATGATCAAAGCCTCTATTGAGTTATTGACATCATCTGATAGTAAAACAAACAGAAAATGTTACAATGCATGTCAAGCAACTATGACATCTTTAAATAGCATTAATTATATAATTACAAAAGAAATATCACATACAATGACAGCAATGCATATCCACAAATCAAACAAATGCTTAAAATATATATGATAATAAATAATCCTAGTTGTAAGCACAAGTCAAGAAAAATAAAGGGGAGGGGATGCATCCATAATAACTTCAATGGTTTTAACTTCAGGGCCAAAATGCATGTTGTGATACACTCAAAAAATACGCTATCACAGTTCTCTCACAGGCTGCAGCAGAAAGGCTCTGCATCCTGTGGCCTCAGTAAGGAACCGCATAGCACACACACAAACACGTGAGCTTTTCAGGCAATTTGCAGGGACACAGAAAGCTGAAAACAACTCTTGAAGTGTTCCCTGCAACTGTGGACTCTTCAGTGCTCCACACAGCCTTTATGTAAAGATCAAGTGCTAAAATAACATTAATGCATCATGAAATGTCAAATTAACCTCAAGTGGACCAGAAACTAGCTGTGTTGAAAGATGTCAACCGGCCACTACGCTTTAGTCTTTCAGGCATAATTTTAAGTGTGATATTCAAAATAAAACAGGTGCACTTTAGAAGAAACTTACAGAAAAATAAGGCTGCTTGCTGGACTAGTGCCATTCATTTACACGTTGTCTTACAATACTGACTTACTCCCAATTCATATGCAATTTTGGTACAGTCTAAACTATACACTATGGTTCATATTTGATTGACTGAAACAGGTGAAAAGAGTGCAGAGTTCTGACAACAGAAGGATCTAGCATTTTCAATTCTAGTGGCAACAGTTCATAGAGGCATAAGGAATGCTTCTTTAAAAACAGCATACATACAACATAACTTACATCATAAATAATTCCTTGAAAATTAAATGACCACAGCATCGATGTCTGACTGAAAAATCTACAGTGATGGCAAAAATGGCGAGATCTTTCTGCTGTCAAGACAGCTTTGACAGAAATGATGCCATTTAGGAAATAAAAAAAGTGTTACACATGTTCCTGTTTTGCTGTGACTTGCCCTTTGTACATCTATAACAATGCCCATTTTTTTTTTTATACTTTAAATATCATGTTACATAAGGTGTCACCTCATTGGGTTCTGTGCACATAATATACTGAAATAATGCAATTGACATGGAATATCGAAACAAAACTGTAAAAACCAGGTACAAAAAGGTACAATATAATCAAAGGACCACATGAAGAAATGTGAAAAAGTCTTCAGTATTCACAGAAAAATATCAACTGAAGTAACTCACCGGACAAGAAGCGTCCTAAGTTTATATACATATGATAAGTAAAATTGAAAATAGATTTTCCTCTCTGTACATAGCACTGTATTCTTTCATCTTACCCTTCCTTATTTACAAAGAACTCCTGTCCTCGAGGTCTCCCATGTCCTTTCAGTCTTGTGTGGGTCTAGTCAAGAGAGATAACGTCAGATATGGAGCCATAAATGGCTGCCGCCGCTGCAGCTTCCACCGAGGACCTCGACAACCCTGAGATGCTGTGGCTGTCCCTGTCTCTGTCTTTGTCGCGGTCCCGCAGACTGCTGGAAGACACCAAACTACTGGTGCTGCCGCTGTTGCTGCCGCCGTTGGTGGCTGCCAGCGTGCTGCTCCCCGGGGTGCCCGGCTGCTCCCGTAGCATCGGAGAGGAGCCGTAGGGCAGGAAGCGGTTCAGGAGCAAGTCGTGGTCCTCTGAGGCTGATGCTGATGCAGCTGCCGCGGCAGCCATCACCATGTTGTAATGCTAACAAGACAGAAAAGAGTGACCATCAACACAACAACCAAACATAAACGTACTTTGGTACGATGCTGCCGAAGTTCATGCGTTTGAGTAAATATACCTGATTGTCGCCTTGGAGGAAGGAGAAGAAATTTAGATCTGTAAGAAAAGGAAAAGGTTCATTTACCTATACTGCAAATACACTCCCAGTATTTATAGTTGATTTAACAATATACAAACGTCTGTCTTCAAAGATTGTTTTCTTGGATTATGTCAAGTCTATTAAAACAATCTGTACATTGAGAGAATGATTGGTTGCTGTAATCATTCCTCCTGTCCATACTAGCAGTGAAAGGATCCTTCCCTTGTAGTTTGGTACCCTTACCAACACGACCAGCAGCTGGAGCTGCAGCAGTGACTTTGACACACAGCTCATGGAGGAAATGAAGGTAGGGTTCATTGAACAGCCCTACCCAACTCTATACTTCTACTATTAACTACTACTACTACTACTACTACTACTAATAATAATAATAATAATAATAGGTGTTAAAGGGTGTTGAGGGGGGGGGCAGTGACTTTGAATACTCCAGGTGAAAGAGATCGGGGACATTATCAGCAGTCCATGTCAAAAGTTAGCTTAAGCTAATATGAGGCTTCAGCAGATTAAGTTCGACAAATCAAATGGGTGTCTTCATCCTGGCAGTCATGTGATCACGTTTCCTGCTGAGGGTTTGTCCCAGCAACAGGATTACACACGACTATCAGGACACATCACCACATCTCAGGATCTAAACACTGTTTGAGGAATAACAAAGAAGGGAGTTTTGTGCTACAAAGACTATAACACTGAAAGATACCAAATTAATTCAGCTGCTTTAACATCATGTTAGCTTCACCTTAACTTTAAAAGACGATGTTTCACAACCAGCATGGACAGAACAAATGAATACTGTGATCAATAAAGTTTTTTGACATACATATGGGCATGTGATTATTGTATTAAGATAGACTTGACAACAATCTAGACCTATGCTTTAAGGCAAGTGACAGGTGTACCTGGCAGGTCACTAGTTGTGTGATAATAGTGGCGATAGTCCTGGATAAGAGGCGGAGGGGGAGGAATGTAGCTGGTATCCACGCTGGGCAGGCTGGGTGCTCTGCTCACAGGTGGCGATTGGCTGTGGAGGTTCAGCACTCTGAGAAGAAACACCGCCACATCAGGTTAGAGACAAAGTACAGCACACAACTGAGCACAAAGATCCCAAAAATGTGCTCATGGTGATCTAACTTCCTGTTCATGGGTTGGAGACTTACCCCTTGCTTGGAGGTGGAGAGACAGGTGACAGCGAGGGACAGGGCCTTTTAAGAGGCGGCTCATCATCTAGCTCGTCCTCTGAGGAGCTATCCAGTGTCAGGTCAATCACGTCAACGTTCTTGTTATTGTCATGAGACGATCCCCGTTTGTGCTCGTGTGCGTCTGTCCGAGACGAATCTACACAGGAAGAGTTAACTCACACTGTGCTCACAGCTCTCAATGACTGAGTGCATCTGAAATACACCGGCTACATACCGCTGTCTACACCGTTGTACGAAGCAGACACGTCCTGCACCTCTCTCTTCGACCTCATGGGGGACCAGTTTCCATCTTCGTTGAACTGGATTTCATCACAGTCAGAACAGCTATTCAAGATTTCCATGAACAACCTGTGAACACGGCAGAATATTTCTACAACTTTTCAACCAGAATTACAAAGGCTTTAGTACTTCATCATCTTAAGTTTTGGGAAATACAGCATTAGTGGCACGTTATAAAGCTGCATTTCAGATGCTTTGGTGTCGGCTTCGGATACAAATGAGATGATGAAATATGGTACAGGAAAGTTGATAATAGATCCACATCTTAAAAAGTGTCAGCCTGCTGAACTCCGGCGTAGAGAATGCCGTACAAATGACAAAGTGCAGATGTTCCTCTGTTTGATTGCCAAAGAAGAGATTCAGCAGGGTGAAGATGAAGCGGGGGGGTCCCTACTACACCGAGGGGCTATGAACCGCAGTGGAAAAGGAAACAGAGAAAAGGAACGAGTACTAAAGGGAGTTGAGTTGAACAGAACCGTGCATTGGAAACGAGGCGTTAGACAGTAATCTAGCAGGAATGTGTGACGTGTTGTGCTCACCCGTCGATAATGAGGTGCTCGTAAGGCGCCTTCTTGTCACAGACTGGACACACCCAGGTCGGCTTCTTCTCATTCATTTGGATGTAAAGTGTAGCATCGAAGCACTGAAGGTGAGAACATGTCAAAGCTCTGCAAGGGATTGTCAGCCTCATCTTCCCCAGCTTTAACACAAAACAAAAAAACACACACAATGAACGCCACTTAGTTGTATAATAAGAGGATATTGTAGGACAAAGCAACAGTGTTCCAATTAGAATAAGTATATGGTAAAGCACATTTAGTCTCTCTGTCAGCTGAAAAAAATACAGTTGTTGTCAAAACATTTTTTGTAGATGTATTGAATGACTAGTTGACTAACTGGTTCTCCTGGTATTCTGCAGGCTACTGGTTATACTTCTCACAATAACTAGAATAACTCAGCAGTAAAGTGAAGTATTTACAGGACACAGGAGAGAGACTCGTAGGCTGGTGGTGGCGATCTCACTCTCTGGATCAGCTGTTAATTTCTCTTTGACTGTGAGAAGAAAAAGAAATGCACAATACAACAATTATGACTTTGTTTAATCCAAGTGTGTTAATGCTAATTTGTTTATCAGGATCTCAAACTACAGCAGAAATAATCCTTGATCAATACACATAGAACACAACGATTTAAAGAGAAACATCACATGTGGGTGTACTCCACATACCACTGTATGACCAATACAAAAATATGTCGGGAGGAAAGTTTTCTAGGTGTGTGAAAAAACAACTGTTGAAAGGAGCAAAGGGCCATTTTCAGGAATCGTTAGGGAACAGAATAACTTTGCAGAACTTTGTTCCTTCTTTGGGTCTTAAATTGAATCCCTGGGACTTCCAGATTGTAGTGACTACGTGGTCAAACAGGCCACAAAAATGCATAGGATTGTCTATATGAAAGGAATTAAATTATATGATTGTCTTTTACTTACAGATGCAGTGGCAACACCTGTTCTATGTTTTTACTACAAAATCAAGAGGCAACTTACTCAGAGCTCTCGAGTGGTCAGGGTTCCTAATTCCTTTGGCCCGTAGTCTTTGCAACAACACTGCCGACGACTGCTGTCTTACCAGATAAACAGCCATGGAAAAACTCTGACAAAACAAAAGATAAAACGAGCGAAACAAGTTACACTGAGGTGACTACACTCCTCCTTAATGTGCTTTGACACTTGACTCCTAAAGCTTTGCTTGGATCTTCTTACCCTCCCAATTTCTGAAGTCCATGACACCACAATTGTGTTGGGGACTGTGGTGGACAGTCGGACAAGAGAGGTTATGTTGATGGGACGACTGGGCCTTTTTGGTTCAACTCCATTTTTGGTTGGAGGAAGATATCCCTGCAGACAAAACATCAAACGTCAGTGACCTTGATTCTCAGTAACTGGTGGTGTTACACAGAACATTTGACATCTGAGAACAAACTGTCTGGACTCACCGGAAGATTACAGGGTTTGCCGTTCACCTTCACACAGAGATTAGGGGGGAAATGATCCTCCTGGGGACAGCTCGTCTCTGATAAACAAAATCTATAAAAGGCAGAAAACAGATTAAAGAAGTGTGAAGCACAAGTGTTGAGGGACAAATGTCAAAAGAAATGTTCCCACTATTCACTTTACACAGATATACATCTTGGTTAAAAGAGAACAGACATACCTTAACTGAACTTGAACAGCAAAGTCACATTTGGTCCCAGATATATCCCTAAAGAATTAAAAGAGAAGTCAGATCCACCGGGTCAAAAGTTTAACACGTAATCTAATAACAACTTAGTTTACTCTGATTGCTTGCGGTGTCCGCTAACACCTGCTTTCTAATCCATGTAAACAGTACATTGAAAAATGTGTTTTCACAGTATTATTTCTTCTTTTCTCGCATCTCTTACAAGAGAACTTCCTCACTTACATGGAGCTGCTGATCTGTTGAACTTGCTGTGGTGTTAATGCAAAGGCATAACATGCTTCCTGGAACCGCTGACTGTTGTCTGAGGCTACGAAAAACAAACCAGGAGCAGAACACGCCAGTCAGAGGAAAGAAAACCTACAGAAATCACTCGGCTAACTAATGTCGACTCCTGAAATGGAAGCGGCGGACTCACCCAGGCTGGTTGGCTTAATGAGCTCATCCAGTACGTCGTAGAATGGCAATCTCTGGAGCTTGACATCGGGATGTACGGGGTGAAGGGCGGAGGGGAGGTGAGGCAAACCCAGCTCATGCTTCGGCCCAAGTAAAGAAACAGGCAGCAGAGGCGATGCGGAACCGTGGCTGTCGAATCCCAGCTGGGCAAGGCCAGCAGGCAGGCTGGAGGCAGAGTGGACACCGGGCAGAGCCAGGTCGACCGGCGAAACCATTTTGGTTGGGAAGCGCCGTCTGTAGAGCTCTTTGATCTTCATCTGCACTGCAGGACTGCAACCGGCCTTGAGTAGATGGAGAGCTTTGGTCAAAAGTTCGTGTTTGCGCCCGTGCTTGTTCCGTCCTGCGTATCCCAACAACACTTGGAGCTCTGAAACTCGAAGGCTCATTACCATTTGCTGTGAAAAATTAAGAGTGGGGAAAATGGTCAATTATTAAACCCTGGGAAACAGATTTTCCCAAGAGGTAAAGAAAAAAGTTTTCTTTTCTCATTAGACTTATTTAAAACATGAATTTTCTTTATCTCAATAAAAGACACATTAAGAGCATCGTCACATGGTATATTTAACAGACAGACACTCTGACATTGTTTCGGCAGAGATGGCCCTCTGGCTTGAAGCAGTGGCCACACATAACTTATACTTCTTTTCCTTTCAGCAGGTGTGTGGAAACAACAGCACGAGTATCATCATTGACAACAATCTAATGACACAGGATTTTCATTCTAAACAAAACGCATCCTTCAGTACAGTGTAATGCAATCAGATAAAGCAACGTCACAAACCTTATCATCATCATAGCATTGGATCAACCTTTGTGCCACAGAACATATGAAACCAAAACAATTTCAAATCCACAAAGATCGTGACTCCATTGTATTATGCTACTGTTTGTTGTAAATGTCCCACCAGAGTAATGTCTTGTGGATAACTGTGTTTAAAAGGTGCGATGTGGCACCACACACGAATGAAGAGAAGAAAACAGAGTACAGCTCATATGAGGCAAAGAAGTGTCAACTGTGCCGAGATTTGTTTAGAAAGGGAGCGTATCATAACGAAAGCGTGTAACAATTAGCGTTTTATGTCAATTAACAACGAATTACCAACATTAAGAGAGTAACGTCAGAAGGTGGAGGGAGACAGTGTAGCTTTAGCATTTAGCCAACAGCGCCAGTGTGAAGCCGGTGTAACGTAATCGGACTGAAAGAAAACTTAATGTTACAGTATTTACGTTATCTCATTTATTTGAACAGTAATCGACAATATACGTTACATTGCCGCTATCCCGACTGTGGATAGTAGCTATATTCCGTGGTCCACCGTCCCATCTCATCAGAAACAATGGTAATGGTAGCTAAATTGCGCTCGTCTTCCAGGGAATAGACAGAGCCAAATTGTAAAAACAAACATTGAGGTCCACCTGAGGAACTACTGATAATGTCAAGTGGCTGACACTACAGTGCCGTTGGGTTGAAAACGTTGACATGAACGTGGTTTTCGTATCTTTGAAAAAGCGATATATGGCCTTATCTGCAGGTGAGCCACACAGGAGAGGCAGCCTAACGGAACATCGGCAACAATAACAAAGCTAATGCTAGCGAGCTAGCCAGCCAGCTAACAGTTTGCCGGTCCCCAGTGCTCTGTTGTTTTGGTATTATATGCTTTGATCACAACATTCATTGGGTCTCTACTGTCCAGTAACAATGGTGCTATGGTTTGAGATGAAATTCTCACAATATGAAACGTCTATTTGTCAAGCTAATGAAGGGGCTCGCTTTACCTTCAGTTCCGCACTCTCCGCCATCTTGTTACATTTGGTGCGCATGCGCAACAGCCATCCTCAAGGGACAGCGCAAATTCAAATTTGTGTCACTTCTTCACCACAAACAGAAGGGGGCGCTGCCGCAACACATAAAACTGTATCCATGGGACATTAAGGGCAATAGTTGTTATGCCTTCCACTCTAATACCATTTCATTTGTTTGAGGAATTTTGTTCTGCTCGTATGAAAGAGCTTACACAAAGATACAACTGACTGCGGTTTGAGATAGTACATTGTGTTTCTTCTTTTTCAGTTGTATTTCATCTAACGATTAATCGATTATTTCATCAGTCATTAACATGAAATAAATGACCAACTATTGTGGTAGTCACTTACATAATCAAGCGCAAATGGTTTTGCAAATGGCTTTGCTGGTCACCTAAATGTGAGGATGTGCTACTTTTCTCTATTTTATATCACTGAATATTAAATAGGCTATTCGTGTTTTGGACAAAAATTACAATTTGAAGATGTCACAACAGGATCTGAGAAGTTGTGTTGACTATTTCCTTCTATTCCTGACATTCTATATTCTTAACAATCTGTAGTCTAATCAATTAATGGATCAAATAAATAGCTATTAGACAGTGAAAATAATCATCATGGCATTTTTTCGGAGGCCAATGGTACAGAAAATAAAACTTAAATTATAGTGTTTTCTCATGGATAGCTTCTTGTTTGTGGCGCTAAACAAACAAATAGCCTCAATAATTCAACACACAGAGGTGAAGGTTTCACATAAATTCAAAGCCTGAGCAAGTTCGATGCTCTCCTGAGAGAAATGGGACTCAAGAAAGGGAATTACGCACTCAGGGCAAGAATCCACATTTCTTTCAATAAATTAATTTATTCATTAGCGATGAAAAGAAATATTAGGCTACATGAACAAATAGGTTACTCTTAATAGTATATGTCGCTACTTTCAATCTCGCGGGTCACCTAATTCAGCCTACTAACTCCAGTGTTTTGAGAGACAAATAGGCATGGTTTGACCGCTACAAATAATTATATTGTAGGCCTATTGCAATGCACACGGTTTTTATGGTAATTCATTTGTTTAAAGTGCATTACATCCAAAGGAAGCTATTGGTCTGCAAATAAGAACACAGCAAAATAAGTAGGCCAATTCACAATACAGGATAAGGATCAATGAATTGGCTAGTCAAAGCTGCGATTATTGACAAAAAAAACAACGAAATAACAACCTATAACTATTACAAGATACATACATTGTCATTGCACTTTGCCACAAATAATAAATATCATCAATGGTATAATTTCAGGAAAACAAATTACACTGTATACAAGATGGTGACATAAATAGTGAGGGTGGAGATACACATGTTATAATATCACAAGTCTTCTTTTAACTTGATTCCTCGGAAGTTTTCCATGGTTTGACAGGAACTGTATATGTGTCCTTCTAATATAAATGTGCTATAATCTGATTCAGGGCGGTAGCAGAGGAGATTTGAAGGAGCAGGATCCGCTGCAGTGGCGAGGAGTCAACATCTTACACGAAAAATGGTGTAAAGCGTCGTGAGCTTCTATGAAGAAGGAGATAAAACAATCAATAGTGTACGTGCACGTGATGGTAAATCGGTCTATATGGAAAAGCATATTAAGCTACAACACACAATTGATGTATTTGATAGGCATGTTGAGTCAGTTACATAATAATAGGATCAATTGATTGAAGTTCATGCTCCAAAAATGTTTGGATCGTCGAGTCTGACAGAAAGGTAATCTGCCAAACTGGCTGCTATTCCACCGATTTTACAATTACTTTTTAACTTCTGCTGAACAACACGAATTCTCTTTCTTGGTCCAACTCGCTGCATAAAGCGTCCAGAGACTGGATAATGGTGGTAGATGCACACTGAGCTGCAGGTAATCAAATTAAATCTTTGAAAGAAATGTTATCTTTATTTGAAATTTCCATTACGTTATAGGTTCATGTATGTATTTAATATGGTAATGTATGTCTTTATTTAATATGTGGAACACATTGATTACAGGTCAAATGTGGAAAAATGAGAAATGTTTTCCACATAAATGCAAGTGATTCGCGTGAATTTAACGGACTTTGCGTATCAAAACAGTAAATGATAGCCTACAGACAACCCACGCAAATCCTTGCTATAGTATACACAGAGCATTTCAAGCATGTAGTCTGTCATCAATCACGTCGGTAAACATGCCACAGTAAATCTGTGAATCCACGCTGCTGTATCCGCTCCCTCTGCTTTATTTCTCTCACCTCTGACGATGTGAAGCTGCTGAACCATCTCCTCTCTGTAGGAAAGTTCCCTTTTCATTTGATCCTGAAAATTATCTGTGAAACAAATGGCAGATTTCAATCAGTAATCCAATACCACAACCATTTCACACACAAGGCGTTAATTTAGCTACTATACATACTTTATACTAATATACTAATTTATACAAATGTTGTTCTGACATTTGTCATAAATAGTCTGTTCATATGAAAATAAAAACGCACCTTAAAAATAATAGAAATAATCACAGGGAGTATGAGGTTAGTTGGATGAAGTCCTCCCGATAGATTCTTGCTTATAACAGATTAATAACATTGATAACACTTAAAGAGGTCCATTCCGAAGATTCACCAGCCTCTAGGGGGCGCTGTTCTCAAGATAAAGCAAGAAACCAGGTACCGACCTCATCGAGAGGGCTATAATTAAAGCAACGCCATGTGTGGACATACTTGCATTTATGTTTTATAATGAAGATAAGAAATTCGAATTTTTAAAGATAATTCAGTTTAGAATAATTTAAATTAAAAAAATATTCAAACTCATTGCTCGGTGTCAGAAAATTTTGTAACAAATGCAACAATGAGAGTTTAAATAAAGTGTAAATGAAAAACAGTTTGTAAAACAAGTTCTACTCTAATCTATTTTTTAAAGTAAAAATCGAAATATGTCCAAGACCGGTTGAGACACGTGTGCTGATGTTGTAATCGACATGCTTTTGTTAGTATTTTAATTGTATCTTGTTTGCAGACTATGACTTGATCCTATAACAACCCACCTTGTTGACAATTAAGAGTATAAAAGAGAATAAATGTAGAACGGAGGTATTTGCACTCTGTCTAACGCAACAGATTAAAACAGTTGTGTTGTCTTGTCACTAGATTATGATTTGTGTTTTAATCAAACTCCAATTGCTGGATCCAAATACTGCAATGAATGCATAAAGATAATGAAAGTAAGACTATTTGAATATGCATGTTAAATCCACCATACAGCTTTAAATTAGGCATCAGGAACTGATATCCTAGAAATTATGAAATGATATCCAAAATCCAGTAGTAGTAGTAGTAGTAGTAGTAGTAGTAGTAGTAGTGAGTATGAGATGAATTTGTAGAGAACCAAATGTACTTTGATTTTCTGAATTCATTTCTAAGACAGTCTCCTTACTTTGACATATGTGATGTTGCACAAAGGTGAGACAAAATAAGTATAATTTCAAACAATACACGACATGTCATATTTGAGATATTTTTGCTGGTGAAATGATGAGTATCCCGTATGATGTTTAGGTGTATATGTTTAAACCCAAAGATGATGCAGACTGATCTGCATTGCACGGGCTGGTCGAGTAACGTAAACACTTTGAGAAATACTTTGTAAGACCTTTGTACAACATAACAGAGTACTCTGTTGTTCACTTAGATCCGAGATTTTGCACAAATAAATGAAATTGTACAAACTAGTACTATCTTTAGGAAGTATACGGCTGACTTTTGTCCCACTGTTCTGATAGACCAGTTCTGTGCAGCACATCCATTCTCCATTTTAATGAGATTCTCAAATAGCTTTCTAGAAAAACAGAATGTGAAAACAGTTGAGTGGGTGAGACGTTTTCAAGCATTTTGGAGAGAAGGTGTTTAGGAGTTACTGTCAATAAAAAAAATACTGGAGCAGTCAGAATGTGAGTGTTTCATCCTGCAATTCACCTGAGATTCATATGAAGCCCTCTTGATGCTTCTCCTGGATGTGGATACAATTCTCTTTTAAGAATTAAGATCTCTGTTGAGTTTGTATGCATACAAATGCAGATATTCTGAAAGTATGCATTGCACACAGAATTTTTTGTCACACTTTTCATTGTGTTGCCATTCTAAGCAGCTTAATATCAAGTTACTTTTATCCTCAACTTGTTTTTTCACCTTCTTTTTTAATTTTCTGTATGTCGATATTTATTTAAAACAAGTTTTATAACCATGTTTCTGTTGAGTCCCAAAATAAAAAAAATATCTGCACTTTCTTCAGCTATTTTCTAAAGATGCGTGGATGTTTTTGGACCGAAGGTTAATAGTTGCTGCATGAAATAATCCTCTCAAATCATTGTTAAAAGGGGTTTTGAAAGCACCTCTTTCCAAGGTAGTGTGTCCCTTAACCACTTAGCATTTTTGGAAGAACGGTGCCCTTTAAAATATTGTTTTGCTCTGCAGAGAGGAGCAGATGCATGCTACTGTTGAGGTGGATTTGGTCGTGGCATGATGGCAGGGGTTCATGTGTTGACCTGACTCACAAACATGACAGGCGAGCAACACTTAACATTGACCAGAAGGACTTTTGAGTCTCTGTCTGTTAAATCACTGCTGTGGTGATAAAAGCCCAAATAGTGGAAAAGCACGGTTGCAGAATTTAGCTTACCTTTCAAGTTTTGAAATTCACGTTCCAGCTTTTTCCTCAGCTCAACTTGCTCTAACAGCTGCTTCTGTAGTTCCTCTAAAAAGCAGACAAAAATAGAGGACGTTGGAGGAGGAGAATAGGGTACAGCAGGATTCCTTCTAGGACAGTTTTCTATTTTTAATGACAGTGATGAGGACACCATCATCATTTACATCGACTATTCAGAGCAGGTCTTCCTGGGCCTGCAGTAAAAAAAATAAAACGTAAAAAAACATCGCCTTTTATGTTTTTGGGGACGAATGCCAAATAATCTGCCTC